ATACAACCGCACATGCCTGTTAGCGAAAAAAGAGGCAGCTCAGACATGAACTGATATTAGTTACTTATGGATCCATTATTGACTCTGCGCTAAAAGACCTTAAAATACTAAAGCACATTAGAACATTTCCTATTTCATTGCAAAAAGGTCAACACTTTCTGGAGTAAGCTAAGTATCCATCTTTAGACCAAAAAAAAGAGTGTTCACTAAAATGTTTACCAACTTCGATGTTAAAGATATTTTATTTGGCCAGTTTTGCTCAGACAATGATGACAGTACTCAAGAATTTAATGAATTTACTCTCGTGAGAGTAAATTTATTAGTTTTCGTTCGAAATTAAGTAAATCATTCCTCCCGACAGGCGTCATATTAACAAAAGGCAAAAACATCTTACCAATTCTAACGTATCATTGTAAAAACAAACAAACAAGCAATCTCCAATTTCACAATACACAAAATGGGATAGTCTTTTGCCTTTGATGGCACCGAATCTATCGCCACAATTATTTCAACTCATGTAACATTTTTTTATTTATAAAGGTAACTTCAGGTACTGTTCGTTAAGTGTTTAGTGTAAAAGTATAGCGTAGCAATGATGTTGAGTCGTGTATTGGAACTGGAAATGAATTTTGTTTTCCTATCTTGCAAAACTAACGTCCGCAAATTTTTACAAAAGTAAGAGGTATTTGGAAGAACTTAGTATATGTAGTCTGATTAATTAACCATTATATTAAAGTTATACTGGCTGATATTTTCGAAAAGTCGATCTTTATTGCGATTGATAATGGTATAAGTAATAGTCATAAACGGAAGTATAAGGGTTCTGCAGAGAAGATTACAAAACACTTATAAGTCATTTTGCTACAGCATGCAATCCTTGTTGAATTTGTTATTCTTACTAAATTTGCTTTTTCTCCCATACATTTCTGACAGAAGTGTCCTTTAAATCGTTTTTGCCAAAGCTGCGAAAACAATTGCCTAGAAAAGTTTTCCGGCTGCGTTCAATCCGGGACATAAGTGGAGACGGTTAGAGAAACCATTGCATTGTCTACTTAAAGCCAGCATATTGTCTTATTTTTTTATTATTATTGCATTATTATTATTATGGCAGTACAAACGTCTGGATGCCCAGAGTAAAAAATAAAACCTTTGGCTGGGCGGGAAACCGTAACCAGCCGTAGCATTGACTAAAATTTGTGGTACCAATTACACAATAATTTCCACAAAAAAAGGGTCATAAAAAATAAATAAATAAATAAATAAAATCCTACAAGCTTTATGGACGTCTTAATTACAAAATACAAATGTTTATAAGTTAAAAACCATCGTTCATATAGCTGTCCATTCAGTTATGGGAGCGTCTAAGATGTAGAATTTTGATAATGTACAATATTAAGTATCTGTTAAAACAGGTGTTCAAAATTCCTATAGACATCTAATTCTAATTCTAGTAAACAGACAGGGAGCAGTATACAAGATCAAATGCTGCGACTGCCAGGCTTCTTACATTGGTGAAACCGGCAGAAACCTAAGCACGCGACTGACCAAACACTAACGGTGACGTCAACAATCACATTGCTGAGCACCATTTAAGGACGAAACATGAAATTGACTGGGACTCTGCGACATGTATAACGTATTCTACAGACTACTATCAACGTCTTACTTTAGAAAGCTGGTTTACTGACTTAGAACAAACGCCACTGAATCGTAGCCAACAGTTACCAGCGCCGTACAAACGACTTATTGACGAGATCAAACAAAACTAACTACGAGAGAATGACAATTTGACTAACTATAGACGACTGTTTAACTGTGACAATAGACGGATCGAAACGCACCAATCATGATTACGAGCCTTCGTAGCCAATAACATCACGGCTTAACTGACAGACGACCAATAACATCGCGACGTAATTGACCAATCAGATCAATAACGAGGGTATAATACCATCAACTGACGTGATACCACTCACTTTGACTCTGAAGATGACTATACCGCACAGGTTGCCGAAACGTCAGTCACTGTCAACAACAACAGTCCTATTCAGGACAACGTTCACCCGGACGATCAAACTCAACCTACTTTTGAAATGACTCCTGGGTTCAAACTTTTCACAATGTGTAATGAACTAGACAGGATTGCCTCTTGCATTTGGCGCATAATTGATTCACACTTGTCTCCTACAAGCTCTTTTATATTTTACTAAACCTCTTTCGAACAGCCCCCAAGGACATCCATAATGATGTTATACTGATTGACCTTGTACTCAGGATATCGGTTCGTCAGTTCTAGTTTCAGTTGACTGTACTTCGTTGTCTTCTCAAAATCTTTAGACTCTCTATTTTCCAGCCACGGACAACTCATTTCAATCCCTCTGACTTGCTTACTGGTCTTGTCAATAACCGTGGCGTCGATTCTATTAGCTTTTACTTGAGTTCTGTCAGGGAATAATGGGACGTCCCAGAAGGCGGTCGCATGCTCATTCTCATACAGCGGCTTGGGTGTGACTTGTGAGAACCACGGCTCACTTTAGTAATTAGATCTAAAGATCTGAAGACTTCAAAGAATACGATCTTGAAAGCATTGTTATGTCTCTGTAGGAACTTAGTCTGTGCCAGTGCACTACAGCCAGATAGAATGTGCTGCACATTCTCCAGGGAATCCCCTCATAGGCGGTATTTTTCATCAATGACGTGTGATTTTGTTTTTTTCGGTTGTAGTAAACCTTGGTAGGTAACAGCTGTTGGTAAAGCTCTTGTACCCCAGCAATGCTATGCGTTGGGGCATTCTTCCATAAAGAGTTAAGTTTAACTTCCTCGTCGTCCCATCTGTTCTTGATAAGCTTTCCTTGCCATCAGATACCGTTGATTGAATCTCCTGCTGGCGGGCTTTGTAGATTGCCTGCTTTACCTTCTTAGCTTCGACTTCTTTACCATCGGTGACAGCTACTGGGTTAATGGAAGTTTATCCACAACTGTAGATCCAGCCCCTCTGCGTAGTGTTCAGTACTCGATGGAAAGAAAGTCGACTAAACGGCGTTTAAACCGGCCGTAGGACACAGAGTGGCTGTGAACTAAAGTTAAGGGAGCTTTTTGAATCAATATTTCGCGTGATCGCGATTTTTTTTTCTTAGCGTTGTAGATTTGAATACTTGTGATAAAATTCGAACAATGAGGGCCCGAATCACATGCAATAGTGCAAGAAATCTCGGCCTTTGTTATATCTTAACGGCTACTAGTACAGATAGACAAACAAGAAGACTTCATATCTTTAAGATTTTTGCATTTATTTGGCATCAGATAATACTCTAATAATTCTAGTATATTCCGACCAAATGACCTCTTAAGCCAGAACCCAAACATAGTGCGCTTGGGCTGCCTGTGATTAATCCGGATCTGTCAATTCCTTGTTGATGCTGTGGAGAAGAAGAAGCAGACTTATTTAGTTAATTTGTTGCAGAGATAAATTGGATCAGGCTTTTTTTGGTAAACACTTGAATTGGCGCCAGATATGAATTCGTATAAGCTTTCTCTCAGGAAGATCGAGTCACTTGCGGAGGCAAGCTTTCACGATGCCCTTCTTTCGGTGATCCTCCTAACTACCATGTTACGTATTGAATGATCGTTTGTGTGGTAAGCAGCCGAGAAAATTCAGCGAGGGTTCTTTCTTTCAGCTATTTCCCGATAAATTTCTTCGTGTTAATTTTGCTGATCTGCACGATGAAAATGGCTGCCCTGTTTCAAGCCAGTGGTTCAAGCTAAATGGGCAAAAATCTTCTGATCAAGTTTACGTTGGAAGTACATTTGCAGTAGTTGCCTGTAATTTAGTCCGTAGGAAACGGTCAGAATCGGAATTTCTTCGATCAGAAGCCTTCTTGTCGCTGAAGTGGACCATCAACAAGCATGTTTTGAAAGAATCGGACATCGATCACAGGTCCGCTCAGGATTTATGCTGCGTTAGTAAAGACAGAGATTCTAAAAGTGATGAAGGAGAAACTCCCCAAGAATTGAAAGGGGAGAAATTATCTTTAGAAAGCAGCTTTCCGGGAAGCCCGCCAAAATGCTCCACTCCACGAAGACAAAGCCCCGTGCGCCAAAATTTGAAATCTTCCTTGACCATGTTCACACGTCTTCTTCAAGTTCCTATGACGACTCCTCGCAATCTGTCGGATCTGTATCGTCAGTTTCTTCGTTATTAAATGGAAAGTTTGGCTCTGCGTATAAGAAGAGAAAGATCAGACAAAAGGTGGAAGCTGTAATGGGAAGCGTCGAATCTGTATGTTTAGAGCAGGGAGAAACCTTGGGGGACTTTGTTGCTCAAGGCTGCCTGTTGCAGCGTAAGAAAACTTTCAATGGGACCAATGTGAAGGAGCACATTTGGCATGTGTTTAGTAAGTAGCGAACGAGCTGGGAGTTCGAAAGGCATTCTGCGAGCTCGTACCTGAGGAGCTGTGGAACCAGCGTGTACAAATGATGTCTGTGCCAGATTGGATGTTGCTTCTTTGTAAGCTGGAATCAACAATATCTGACGATTCCTGGCAGATGATCTTAAATCGGACTCGACTTGGAAAAAGCGGGGTGAGTTAGCCACTGACTAATTTTTGTGTTGTTGTTGTTGTTGTTGCTGTCGGTTTTCTTTAAGCTTACTAGAACTATAAAGTAATCCCCTAACCATAAATAAATGGTGGTTTATTCCATTCAAATATCCACTCCCATTTCCCCCCACTATGGACAAGATTTTGTGTGTGTGGGGGGGGGGGGGCTTTAAAAGTCATTTCCAAGGGGATTGACTGTGACGGCACCTTTCATCTTTGGAAAATTTCTGAGTAGTGTAAGAAAAATTGGCCATTTCTGTGGGGGGAGGCAGGGGTACTGTGTCAGTACCTTTGATCTTTTTTCCTTTTCTTTTAGAACTCATCAGACACCCCGATCTTGCTTTCCAAAAGCAACATAAAGGCACTTCGGTCACATCACCCAAATACAAGATTTTCCTGGTTATGAAGTCTGTTTCTCTTGAAAGTGCCCTAACATGGATTATCAGGGAGTTGAGATTACATGGTGTGCAGAAAGAAATAATTGAACTAAGCCTCAAACTTGATGATAGGCCATTTGCAGGTGAGAACACAATCTTTAGTAAATACAGTGTACCTTATTTCCACATTCCTTTATTGTATTTTGCAACAACTGTGTTGCACTTGAGAAAGAAAAACATAGAAACAAAATCATCTGTGAAACTGGGTTAAAAAGTATGACACCATAAGACATACAATAGTGTCCAAATTATTTCTTAACTGTAACTGAAACAAGTTCATCCTAACGAAACCCTGTGATCTTTTATCATGGGTGACTAGTCCTTTTTCGTCAGTATTCTTAAACATTTACCATCCTTACCCATAATTTTCAGTTGAAAGATATTCAGTCATAGACAGTGCAGAGACAAAATAATGTAAAGCAGGGTATATAATATGTGGGAGTTTAAAAGTTGCTGTCCATATTATTGTTGCTGTATTAGGGAGTAAATTTTAGAGAAAACACATGCCTTGAGCTTTTTGTTGCGACAAAATTACCCATTAAATACAGGTGTCTGTATTAAGTTTGAGGGGGGTAACATCAAAGTGGCAGGTCATGAAATGGTGCTTAAATTTTTGAAATTCCTTTTTTTTGTTTCCTCTCATTTGTAGGGCGCAGTCAGGTCCTAATGGGTGTAGTCCCCAAAGACAAACCATTCCTGTCTAATCAGAGCTGCAAATCAGTGTGCCCTTTAGCTATTGCTAATTGTAAGGAAGACAGGTATGTTGTATTTAAATTTGATTCATTAGTCAAATAGTTATTTGTTTCCAAAATAACTAGTTTTGTTAGTGAAAATTTTTATTGTACCTTTTTGACTGTGTAATTTTTTTGTCGACCAGTTATACATGCAAGCTGAAATAATTTGTGTATTTACAACAAATTTATTGTATGAGGCCTAAAGGCCCAAGTAAACGATCATTTTTGAAAATTTTACCGCAAAGGTCTTAATTTATTAGTGGGCCATTCAAACCCGACCTTATGTTTTCAACTCTTAAGAGCTATCTGCCTCAGACTAGACTTGCAGTATGGTATTCCTTTTTCCTTTTTTTTTCACTGTAGTAATAACTTCAGTTCACCAGTAACTTTACTTTTTATTATTATTAAGGAAAACCTAAAAAAGCTGATTGTTAATATCAACAAACAAAAGGATGCACTAAAGAAGAATGGAATCACAGTGGATGGAGTGCATTATGCTGTGAGATTTAAAGGTAAGTTTCACATAATAATTAATAAGGTATTTTTTAGTACCAATTAATTTTCAATCCAAATGCCTGCATGTACATTGACCTCTTTTTTAAAATTTATATCTACAGTCATACTTGACCTGAAGGCCCTCTATCTTTTGCTGGAACAAATAGGGAAACGAACTTTCAGCTTAGAAAACGAGGAACTCAAGTACAGTGTTGCTTCTTCTGCAAAGCATTGAGGGTATGTGGATATATTCAAAATCTCTGAGTCAAAAAATTCTACTATGCAGGTTTTGACCTTACCAATGACCAACTTACCAATACTTATTACTATTAGTTTTTCAGTTTTGCTGGGTAAAATTTCTTAGTAAAAACTAGCTATGAATAATTACTATTTTTATTGTTACTTTATTAGGGATGTAATTGCGATCTTGGTCCGCATACAGTTTGTTTGGAACACTTAAGCATGTCCAAGGCCAATATTGGAGGGTAATTTAGTTATAGTTTTGGTTTACTAAGAATTCTACGATGATACTTGTTGAGGCATGCAGCCCTTGATTTTTCATGAATTTCAGCATTTGTAGTTGTCATTTTGAATTCACAGTAACTTCTAATTATAAAAGGCCGCATTCAAAACAAGATTATCTCAATACGGTTAACCTCTATTCAAAAACATAAATTCCCTGGTATAGTGAGTGAATCTCGTCATCCCAGCATTTATAGCTTAATAAGTATGTTTTCTGTAGAAGACTAACTTTTTATATAGACCTCATTTTAGCAATAATATTTTGTAAGCCTTGCCTTTTGTAAAAGGGGACGTTCCACTGCATGGAAAAGAATCCAAAAGAGCATTTTATTTGGACAAACATGGTGTTTAATGCGCCTGTCTATAAAATGTTGGAAGTTATCCTTGTCTTGTTTTCCTAGAGAGCACATATTATTTTTTCATAAAAATATATCACAGTCTTCCTTTACTGTAGGTGCGTCAATGTTGTAGGGGCACTGTCATAAAAGGCTGAAAACCTGTCGACTAAAATACTTGAGTTTGAAATCTATAAACCTGTAAAGTACCACTTCAGAGTAGATATCCCCCACAACTAACAAAATAATGGATCTTCTTTTTTATAGTTTCAAAGGCATCCGTGATGACTTAGAGTTCCTTCTTGATTAATCTCTGCGCCCTTCACTGCGAACTTAGAAATACTGAACAGCTGTTGTCATCATTGGGTTTGTTTTCGTACAAAGTGGGTTCACTTGATTAATGTAATGACGAATTGGCAAATTATGGCCCCGAGAATTTTAGCAGCAGAATATAACTGTGAAGATGAAGGATATTGGCCAAGAAACTGCTGTTGAAAAGCACAACATCCAGGTGTCTTCATTTTCAGGTACCTTCTATCTTGTTTCATCCTTGTCATGATTGCTTTCATTCGCTTTATCCGCGTCAGGGCTTTTACTTCTGTGCTGTAGCAGCTGCGTGAGTTTCATTTGTACAATACCTTGATCCTTGATATGAAAACTGTAACACTGGTTTGTAAATGAAGATGTCATTAAGGAGGGGGGATAAGGGGGGTACGAATACCGCAATACCGCATCAAAATTTAGCCAAATACCGAAACCGCAGTTACAAATGGGAAAAACTTGAAGTTGTCAATACTACAAATCTTCCTTTCAAATAGAAATAATACTTTTATGTCAGTGTTTCCAAATCACGGTGAGTCGATGTCAAGCGTACTTTAAACGTAAGATCATTCATTTCATGTATACGTTTACATAAATGATACAACAGGAGTTTTCTAGTATTACTTTATATATTACCGACCTGGATCATAAACGGACGGAAAACAGTTGACTCTTATGAGGTTGTTTCAGATTCACAATTATCTCGGTTCTGTGCTGAGGGTTTCAAAACGTCGACCCGGGCTGCCTTTTGGATTCGAAGGGCACACAGCACACACCAGCCTGCGTAGCATGGCGGTTTTGGTTGGGCGCGCTAGGTAATAAAGTGGGGCGCGGGCGAGGAGATTGGGGCGGTACCTGCTTCGCCGCCGACAGTCGTGCTGCCGACAAAATCACGTAAAACTGCCATGCCCGGGAGGCGGGGGGTACTTGGGTTAATTTTGCTTGGTATGTGCCACTGGCCTCTCAGAGCCCCTACCCCATTACAGTCTATTCTGTGGCCAATTATAGACCCCATCTATGTCAGTTTTGGACAAATATTTAACTTTCGCGATGTCAACTTAGTCACTTTCTATTTTTATGAATTGAACACTTTTTAGATTGAATGAAGAACACTTTACTTTTCATCTACAATACAAATATTCTGGTACGTTTGCTAACCGTAAATATGAAGAATTATCTTACCCCAAAAAAGCAGAAAATGTGTGACCCCATTCTAGTAACTCTCTGAAAATGCGACCTCATTATAGTCAATCCAGTCTTGAAAATGCGACCCCATCCAGCGACACATTCCCATTAGCCTCTTATAAGGAAGTACCCCCTACCCCCCGGGGCCGCCATGCTACGTAGGCTTAGCACACACGAATACTAGCTCATTCTATATTCCTTCATGCACAACGAGAAGGACGAGTAGTAATTTTTAGACCACACCATCTTCATAGATTATCTTTCGACACTACGCAATTTATAACGACCTCACTGACCTCACTATTTGCTGAAATATCTGGCTGATCACCTAGTTGACCCTCTGGATCGCTCGCCATTGTTTTTGCGACTGGCACGAAAGTGGCGGTAACATTGCTAACTAGGTTAACCAAGCTGACTATTCCCACAAGGTCCATGAGGTCATAAATAGTGCGACATGTTTACGTATCATTGGATCAAAAAGTTAATGTCGTTAATTATATCAAGTATTAACTGAAATTACAAGCCATACGATTTGTCTGCACTGTTTGCGTAATACGATCCCCGACTGTGCAACTATAGGAAGACACGCAGGTTAGCTAGGGAGACCTTTTAGGATTTGTATCCTCTTGTCATGAAAAAGAAGCAGATCACTGCGACACAATGATTTTTTCACCGACTACCGCGACATAAAATTTAAACTTACCGCACACCGCTTGGACTCTGAAAACCGCAATACCGTACTTTGAAATAAAAATTACCGCAACACCGCACCAAGAATAACCAATACCGCAATACCGCAAACCCTTACGCCCCCCTTGTTAAGTTGTGAATTTAAATCCTGTTTGTTTCTTTCTGTACTATTTTTCCTGAAGGTTCTACTGAACGTGAGTGCCTCACAAACATTGAAGCGATTGTCAGGAACTCCTTGCCTCATGACAAATTGAAGTCATATTTTGCTGTGTAATGATAGAATCAAGGTATGGCTCAGGATATTACATGATTTGAATGTTTCACTTAAACCAGTGCAACTCACAATAATATTCTTTGTGTAGAACGTAGAAACATACACTGAAAAAAATGGTTTCTGTTTAAAATGTTCAATGAATTTTTAATAATTTGTTTTAGTACTATCAGTACATGGCTATTTCAGACAAATTCACCAAAGACTCAGGTTCAAAGCAGGAGACTATATTACCCTCACAGGTTCAGGGACATGTTACAGTCATTATACTGTTATTTAAAACCTTTACTTCCCTTAAACCAGACAGTTTGAATTAATGACCGCATTTACATCCATCTACACTGGAAGTTGTGATAGGCTAGCTAGCACTGTTAGTATTAATACGTACATCATTATTGCATCAGATAATACTGCATCCCAACTGAGTGAATGTTCCTTAGCATGTACAGCACCCCCTGTGGTTTGTTTTCTTGCATAATAGTCCTCCCTTAAAAAGAATACCCCCTTACACTTCGTGATGTGACTACCTAACCTGTTTTCCTTAGAAACTGGAAAAGCCGTTCATAGAAGACTGGAATTCTGGCAGGGCAGGCTACGTGAAATCGAGGAAAGATATGTGGAGCTGCCAGAGAAGTGTGTTGGTGGGTCGGTTGCTAAAGGGAAACGAGGAAAGAAAAGGCAGAAGGTGGACAATGCTTATCTTTCTCAGCTATCTGATTATGCAGCAGAAGTGTTCTACCAATTTTTTTTAAAGGTAATCAAATAATCAAGTCTTTTTTTATTTAATTGGAAGACACATGGGACAGTTTTATGAGAAGTAAGATATGGGGCGAAATCCCGACATGTTTGTACGTTGAAACTAGTCAAGCTGATTTTGCTTTTTTGAACAAAATTCTTAACTTAACAAGTGGCAGTTACAAAACACAGGCCACAAGGAAGGGTCACTGCATGCTCTTATAAAAAAACTGAGATAGGTAGTTTCCCCTTAACTTAAAACACCTCATTTCTGATTGTAATTTGGGCTTTTCGTATAATTATTCATTTTGATTTCAGGTTTACACTGACTGGAAAGACATTTCTGAAGTTATTAGAAGTACAGTCTTCGAGGAAGATCAGCAAGATTTAATTGACATTTTTGACATACAAGTATGTGTCAGGTAATTCAATTTTAGTAAGAGTGTAAAGTAGCATTTTAAAATGAAGTCCTCTTAATGTAAAATATGCATAATGTCTAAAACTATTACAATAATAAATTTAGACAAGAGGGTTAATACAGCTGTAGTGGAGTTTCTTGTAAATCTTTCACCAGAGACCAGCAATTAAAAGCCGTTGCATGACGAGAAATTCAAAAATAATTTCCAGTCACTTTAAGTGACATTCAAAAACTCATTAAAAATCCATAAAGAAAAAACAAAAGAAAGAAATGCTTAATGAGTGTCTATCTGACAAAGGTACGGCTAAACTTTACATCCAATTTTTTCGATTAAAAAAAAAACAGATCTTAACATTTAAGTACAAGATCTATACAGAGATTTTGAAGCCGTTCAAAAAATCTGCAGACATGTATAATCAGAACCTGGAAATACACTAATGCTGGTCTTTTAAACAATACTTAAAGTTTGATTATAGAATGGAGGCACCTACATGATTATTTCAAAAGTAAAATGTTTATCTCTCCTAAAATTTTTAAGATATTCACAAAGTACAGGTCACATTTCACAGGTAAGAAGTGCATGTCACTGCTCCACAGATGAATTGCTAAACCACACAGATTCCGCTCTGTCTAATAGAGCATTTTGTTAAAAGTTTAGGGCTTGCAAACACTTTTAATGCTATTCATTTGTCTGTATCATGTTGAACTGCACTCTGACCTGTGGAAAAGTTACCTGTATTTTAGACCCGCCGTCAGTT